ATGTGGACGTCTAAGACAGGTGCAGGAAATCGACATGATCTAGGTTTGCAAAGTTACCTCCAAATGAGGTATTTTCTACGTCATGTTTGGAAGTCAGACTTTGGTCCCCTGAAGGTGCAGACTGTGACGCCATGTGGACGTCTAAGACAGGTGCAGACAATTGACATGATCTAGGTTTGCAAAGTTACCTCCAAATGAGGTATTTTCTACGTCATGTTTGGAAGTCAGACTTTGGTCCCCTGAAGGTGCAGACTGTGACGCCATGTGGACGTCTAAGACAGGTGCAGACAATTGACATGATCTAGGTTTGCAAAGTTACCTCCAAATGAGGTATTTTCTACGTCATGTTTGGAAGACAGGTTTTGGTTCCCTGAAGGTGCAGACTGTGACGCCATGTGGAGGTCTAAGACAGGTGCAGACAATTGACATGATCTAGGTTTGCAAAGTTACCTCCAAATGAGGTATTTTCTACGTCATGTTTGGAAGTCAGATTTTGGTTCCCTGAAGGTGCAGACTGTGACGCCATGTGGACGTCTAAGACAGGTGCAGGAAATCGACATGATCTAGGTTTGCAAAGTTACCTCCAAATGAGGTATTTTCTACGTCATGTTTGGAAGTCAGACTTTGGTCCCCTGAAGGTGCAGACTGTGACGCCATGTGGACGTCTAAGACAGGTGCAGGAAATTGACATGAACAATGAATGTAGGGAAATGTTTGATTGACTGAGGCATTAATCATTGACATGCTTAGCTTTTTGAATGCATTTTTTAATGTTAAATAATAACATTGTTTTTCAACGTGATTCATTAGTAGCCTAGGTCTAAAGCAAAAGTAGTTTGCACGTCGTGATGACGTCCGGAATTGGTCCGCATATATATACATGAAACAGGAAGTCCCGCCTGCAGTATGGTAGTTCCACAGGAAACACCACAGGAAAAGTGAACGACAGCAACTTCAAGCAAGAGATAGGCCTAAATCTGAAAAATCCTTGTTTTCAAGGTAGGTTCGGTCAACTTAGTGAAGTTTATGTTAAATTATGCTTTACTAATTTTAGCTGTTTTAGCGTTATTGTCTTAAACTAGCCTACTTAAACCTGTTGTGGGGGAGGGAGTGAATCTCCACTAGCTAGCGTTAGCTAAACATTGGCCATAGTTAGCCTACTTTTGAAAACAACTTTTGCACGGCACCGAAGATTAACAAGTAGCAGCTAACATCATTCCGCTACATGTTTTGTACATTTGCTGGGGTTTTATTTTGGCCGTCGTTGGTTGCCCAATGATCTGGCCGTGATTGCACTTTAAAAATCCCACATTCCAAGGCCACTATGGCTTGGTTCTCTGTATGGCAATACTTTAAACTGACTAATGCCGTGTTTTTTGTGGTCTGCCACTGCCTTTGTCATAAAGAAAACTAAAATATGATAACATAACAATAACATAACAGAATGTTTGCAAACCCTTGCTTGCAACTGTTTTATGCCAGTGACCCACTAACATCACAAAACATAATGTTGGTCATAAAAATGCAAACTGTATAGGTAAAACTCAAGGCTAAAATAAACACTAGTCATGCAGCACTATTTAATGTTCTAACAATCAACCTAAAAGTAAACATGTGGGCAACGAGAACCACCTGTCAGTCACATGTTCCCATACAAGGGGTGATATAAGTTGTTTAACAGATCAAGATGTACTGTAAATACCAGGAATTGAAAGCTGGCATTCTGATCTTTAGTCTCAAATTCGTATTTTTTTTCTTAAACCCAAATGTCTTCAATGTACAACAAAAATAAAGAAATTTTCCTTGTTGTTCCCATAACTTTGGAGATGACTGATTGTGATCTTCATTTGTGTTTATTGATTTCAGTGTACCAGAAAAAAGTCCTAGACATACTCGCTGACATAAGAACTTGCTTAAAGCAAAGCCAACCTGCCAGTTCACCAGTAAACATCGAAAACTTTGAACTGGAAATGGATGGATTATGCTACATTGGAATGTGTTTCCAGTTATGTGGTGGAAAGGAAAGCAATCAAATGAAGCTACAGAAAAATGAACTGGAACAGTTAAAATGAGACAAAGGTTATGAACAGTGCAGTATAAAAGCACTGTCTGCACCTCCTGAGGTCCTCTGGACGTTAATACAGGACGTTTGTTAGACGACTAAATAAGACGTCGTTTGGCGTCACAGTCTTCACCTTTAAGGTATAAAAATGTGACGTCCACAATGACCACATTTGGAGTATAATTAGCCCTTATACAGAAATTATATGGACGTTAATACAGGACGTTTGTTGGACGACTAAATAAGACGTCGTTTGGCGTCACAGTCTGCACCTTTAAGGTATAAAAATGTGACGTCCACAATGACCACATTTGGAGTATAATTAGCCCTTATACAGAAATTCTATGGACGTTAATACAGGACGTTTGTTGGACGACTAAATAAGACGTCGTTTGGCATCACAGTCTTCACCTTTAAGGTATAAAAATGTGACGTCCACAATGACCACATTTGGAGTATAATTAGCCCTTATACAGAAATTCTATGGACGTTAATACAGGACGTTTGTTGGACGACTAAATAAGACGTCATTTGGCGTCACAGTCTGCACCTTTAAAGTATCAACATGGGACGTCCACAATGACCACATTTGGAGTACAATTAGCCCTTACACAGAGGTCCTCTGGTCGTTAATACAGGACGATCATTAGACGACAAAAAAAGACGTCGTCTGGCGTTACAGTCTGCACCCATAGGGGACCAAAATGAGACGTCCACAACGACCATATCTGGACTACATTTAGCCCTTAAACAGAAGTCCTGTGGAAGTCCATTCAGGAAGTTCGGTAGACGTCGGAAAAATACGTTGATTGGCGTCACAGTCTGCACCCTCCTGATACCGACATAGGACGGACAAGCACACCGTTGAAACTACGTCATGTGGAGGTAACTTTGCGCAGTGGGCATACAAGATTGCAAAATTTCATTAGATTGCATACTAACTTATTTCGTTTTGCATTAAAGAGGATAGCACAATACAGGTGCTGTTGCGTTTGAGATAGAACAATATAAATAGATATCTTATGTGAACTAACTCATGCCATGTGCATTGGAAATATAATTCGACGTATGTGCTTTGCAATGCATACAAGATCTGTCATATTCCGTTGTGCAACTGAAGATATACATGTGCATTGAAGCGACAACAAATAACAAAGTACTTTCGAATTGCATCGATCTAAGATCTATCATCTTCCGTTGTGCATTGGACTTCACACAAAACGTGTTTGATGTTGCATTGCATTGCTTGCAAGATCCAATTTATTTCTTTGTGCATTTAAGAGGATACACAAACACAAAAGCAGTTGGATTTAAGAGATAAAAAAAAACATGTTTACTGTTGCATTGCAATGTATACACGCACTAACTTAAAGGGACACAAGGCAACTCTGAGTGTTTTTCTCTACGAAGCTCCCCCTAGCGTCTGGGAGTAAATGCTTTCAAACACACTGTCGTAAAACGAACTGTTGTTCCTCCCCCTCGCCACGAGCAACCCAGCTGATCAGCTGTCAACCGGCTATTTCTAAAGCAATTATGTCTACCGAGGTAAGAAAAGCAATATTTTCTTTCCAACTGATGGCGACTTTTTATTGTTATTGTGTTGTCATGCATACTAGTATTTTTACCGGGACCGAACGATATGAACGATGTGAATTACTTTTCTTTTTTTTTGGGGGGGGGGGGGGCATGAGCATATCATAAATATGTATCGGAGGTTAATTTGTCTAACGTTATATTAGCAAGGTCTATAAATTAATCTGGTAGAATGACGGTTTACCTTTGTTTGTCTAAGAAAATATCAGAACGTTTTTTATAGCTCGATCATGATATGTGCAACATGTTTATTGCCTATTATCAGACGCGTTGACTTAGGCCATTGTAATTCAACTCATATCTGTAAAGTACGTCAACTGTTTTGTAATATTGCAGGAATCAACGTCAACCTCAGCCTCGTCTGAGTACACTGCTCAGGCCATTGGTGGTAGGCCTACAACTTCAAGGCTGGTCAGACAGAGAACCCCCAGAGGTTCTAGGGTGAGGGGTGCTAGACTGGATGCTGAAGAAGAAAGGAGACTGAAGGATCTTCAGGAAAGACGCATCAATGAAATTAAGGTTTGTCAAATAGTGTAACAATACCAGAGATGCCTTTTTATTTAGTTCAAAGACCTGTGTAATTATACAGATTATTTTGTGTTTTCGGATACACTTCATTCACTAGACACCTCACAGAAGGACCAGGTATTAGAAAGAGTGATATCCAGGTCCCCGGGTGTGATGTTTGACGTTCTGTCATTTCTGGAGGTGCCCCTGTGTCTTGACCCTGAACCTGCTGGACTCCACTGGTGTGTCTGTGGAAACTGCCGGGAGATGAACACAGACCTGGAAAGGAAATGCTGCCGGCAACATCCACAGAATTGTATAAGCAAGATGGCCTACATGGACTTTTATATTTTAGATGAGGGTGTGTTGCGTCTGGCCAGGGCAGCCTGGAATGACATATTTGCACTGGTTGATAATGCTGAACCTGGGATGGAACAGCGCCAGTTCAGACATACAGCCTATAGGCAGTTTGTGTTGTGGCAGCATGGCCGTCTGGGTGTGGGCAACCGAGTTGTAATACCCAGCTGCTGTGTTTGTAGGATAAGGGACACTTTCCCTGACCCCAGAGGGCAGTACACCGGCTTCAGGGTGAATCGCCTAGCGTAATTTTTTACAATATTTGATGCACCATTTGTTATCACACTGTAAATAGTTGTTGTTAACATACAGATTGTAAAAGTTATTCTTACCACTTATCTTCCCAGCTGTATGTATGCCTACATATCTTTTTTATAATATATTGTAAATAAAAAATATTTTGGAGAAAGTTTCAGAATCATTTAGTTTTATTTACATGTATATGTACACAACTTCGTGTGGATTGCCATATGACAACTGTTCAATTGTCCTTCAATTCTCTGGGACCACTGTCCCCTCGTGAGACATGAATCGCCACTAGTTCTGATGTGGGAGGTGGCTGTTGTGGAGCAAGTACACCCAGACGCCTTGGGTCATCATGCCTTAGTGTCTGTCTGTGGGGAAGTCCAGACCCACTTCCCAGTCTCCTGGCAAGAATGGCCCTCTGGATCTCTGGAATGTACGTGTACTGCTTCTTCACCTTCATTGTGTAAACGCTCCAGCTCTTTGATTTCTTGTTGTACTTCCGTCTGTAACTAGAGAGCACGAACCATTTGTGTTTGTCGTTAGTCATTCTACAAGATAAAATAAAAGATAAACATGTCGGATATATAAATAAAGATGATGTCACAAAAATACCTACATTTTCTGTCCATCTGGTTTGCGTGCAGGCTGGCGTTGATTGTGTTTATTATAATCAATGGCTGCCAGCAATGTCCGGGTTTTGTATACAAATGGAGTGTAGGCCATGCGCTTTGCTGCATACATCAAAATGTGATTTTGGAATGACTCCAAATCAGATGTGGTCCTGTGTGGGTGGGAGAGACAGATAATTACAACAACACTCGTGGTAATACATGTTGTTTTCTCTTATATTTTTAAATAATAAGAAATGATATCCACTTTACAGATTACATTGAAAAAACTATGCTGCTTTTAAAACATGACAAACACTTGAGTGAGGAATACTGGAATTTCAAAAAGAACCTGGGTGACCACAACCATGTCTTACAGATATTTACCTGAAGTTTAGGAATTTTTTCACCAGGGTCAGCCATCTTTTATCAAGGACAACAGCAGTAAGTGCCTTATGAGCAGCTGAACCTATAGTCATAACACGGTCAATAAAACATATGCATTCACATACAGTGTTTAATTCAGCACCAGTTTTGTTTGAAATTACCTTGTATGATCCAAGGCTTGTTCTGGCTGTCTTCGTCCAGTGGCTCATGTTCACAGCAACTGGTTGCCCAGGAGTGCTCATTGCACACATGGTGAAGTACACCAACCCACATCATCTGGATAAAAAAAACAGTTATAAAGTGCATGGAGCCACAAACATGCTCTGCTAGCATATCAACTAAACTGACTTAATCATCACATTTTTTTTCCCCTCAACCATACCTTGAACTGCTCCTCGGTGTCCGCATGCTTACTGCAGTACCAAAAGTGGTTGACTATGTCCTTGATCCATGGCAGAATCCCATTCTGACTTTTCATAGTCCCAGCCTGATCAAGATACACAAGGTACACAATAGCTAGCTTCTTTTCACAACACCAAGACAACATATAGAAACTGGTCACATGTCTTTAAATGTACTGATGCATACCCGTCGAAGCCTCTTGCTAAGGCTCTTGGCTGCATGCCAGATATCCAATGAGTGCTGAATACCCCACGCTTTATATTTGCCACGCTCCGTATCTATAACAAAGAGAGAACATGAAAACAATGTAAACAAAATTGATAGTTAAGTTTTTTATTTCTTTTTACATATTGTATGTTAAAAATTAGGCCCTGTGGGAACAGCGATCAAACTTGAACTTGGGACAGTCTATATGCTTTATGACTTAACTATAACCAAAAGTTCTCCTTACTCAGTAATGCGGTGATTTGTGGGTGGGCATCAGTGACCACTTCCTTTATAGAAAGCTCTGGAAGGAGCGCATCCATTGTGCGCACAAAGCACTCCTTCTCCATGATGACTGAGTTTTTATTTGTTTCGCGTTTATCAACAGAAACAATGTGGACCACATCTCTGGAGTCTTGTTCTATTGTGGTGTATGTGCAGAACTGTGCACAATGACCTGAGGCAAAAGCACAACTGTCAGCATATAACTTGTGTACATTATTACAGCGGCCGTCAGAATAACAGTCAATGAGGAAAGAGGCATTTATCTATCAATCATGCTCAGAATACAGCATCAGAAATAAATTACACATCTCAATCTGTAACCACAGGAAAAATCTAATTCAGATTATGTAATTCATAATCTGAGCTGTGAGAGACAGTGGACATTTTGCATGGACATATTTTTGGATTGTTAACCCTAAGGGTTGCACCCTCTATCAGGCCAAATGTTATGCTAAAAGAACAGTTTGACAGTCTCTGAGCAGCCATGATGCTATTTCAGTCTAAAAGCATCATCAACATAAAAAAAACAAAGAAATTAGAGGATAATGATAAAGCAGTACAACAGTACATGCATAAAAATTCTGTTTCTCAATTTTGACAGTATGTATACAGAACTTACCAGGAGAATCCATTCTGCCATCACCTATTGCGAACAGACATTATAAGCATTAGAATCACATTCCAGCTTCCAATCATACAGCCATAGCATATCATACAGACTTGTCTGTGTAAAAGTTGGCCAAATGTGTTAGACTGTTCCTCACCCAGGAGAACAACATGGTCCTTCTGACGTAAACGGTCTAGGACTTCTGCTCTAGTTTTATCCCAATACTCCTGCACCGGCTCTATGCAGTAAGCATCCTGGTTCTCTTACGAGAGTATCTCTCGTACTGCGTAATAGCTTACGCTAGGGGAAAAACTCTTTTCCGCGAGATATTGAAGCCAAAAATTATCCTTAATTTTTTATTAATGTAAAACGCTTTGCAGCAGCAAGCAGACATAGGCGAAACAGCTCGCGCGCCTATTGGTTGCTCTGCAGCAAATGCAGCAGCCTATCGAGAGAGACTCTGCGTGACGTAATGACCAATGGGGGCAATTCGCGCCCATATCGTCACGTCCCGCCAGAAGGGGCATGGTCTCATCCTATAAATATGCTCGTTAGGCTGATACAAGCTGATTTTTACCTCTTCAGCGAAGCACTCGCATCGCTGGATCCGGAGTGAGAAGCCGCGCCGTCGAAGCAAGCCTTTCAGCGGGACGAGCTCTGGAGTCGCTGGCCTCGCCGCCTTCAACTGCCGTACCTGCTGCGCTTTCCGGCGTTCTATATCCTTTCATACTCTGTGTGTATTTACTCTGTTGAGAGTGTTTGCTCGCTTACTTGACGCGACTCACACTTCTCTCACAAAAAGAGCTGCGTCTTTTTAAAGATGCCTTCCTGTGGCTCGTGCCGCGCCCCGCTCAGCGATGGAGACCGGCACGTCATCTGTGTTTCCTGCCTGGGTGAGGATCACGCGGCTCTCGCGCTCGCTGACGGCGGATGCCCTCATTGCGAGCTTTTGCCCATGGTGACTCTGAGGACTCGCCTGGCATCATTCTCCGAGCCTTCACCGCAGCCCGCCGTGGTGCCGCGCCGCAAGAAGCGCCCAGCGCGCTCCCGAGCTTTCTCCAGCCCGCCAAAGCTCGCCGGTTCGCCCGCCAGCTTCGCCGGCTTCGCTCGAGTCGCTCACTGACGGACAACGGCCGCCGCCTGCCGCCGCGTCCATCCACGAGTTTGACGAACCCACCGAGGCGTGTTCTCTTCTGGCATCCGATAGTGAGGATTGGGCGAGCTCCGTGGATCTCCCCTCCGCTAGCGTTTCCCGCCAGACCACTGGTAAGAGAGCCGGCATTGAGACTGAGCTGATGCGTCTGCTCTCTCAGGCCGTGGAAAGCATCGGCCTCGATTGGGAGGCGCCCGCGCAACAGGCGAGCTCTGTGGACCTCCGCCTTCTGTCCGCGAGTCGTCAAGGAAACGGGCCAGCATCAATACCGCGAGCCCTAAAAACCGCGGCTAGCTTTCTTTACGTTATAAGAAATCTACCCCGCCCCCCATGGGCGTGCGTCACCGGCAAATGAGAAAAGAGTGTGTTTTTAGTCCCCGTCGAGGCCGGACTAATCTCCATTTCTCAAACATTTCTCAGCTCCTAGTTTGAGCGGCTGAAAATGTCATTATTGCAGCAATGAGCCTGTTGTATAACACGCACACCTGCATACAAACGCCGACACACACAAAACTGTGATGACGCTCTCTTATCTGCTTGCAGTGTAGTTCTCCCTGTGGCCCAGTGGCGGAACCTGAAGCTTTCACGCGAGAGACCCGTGTTCGATCCCGGCTCTCGCAGCAGATAAAAATTTAGTCTCGCCGCGGCCAGACTTCCACCGAAACTTTTCGCTCGTTCAGTTCCAGAAAATGCGACTGTTCCTGTGTATTTTGCAGTAAACAAGCTGGTACCACGGCCCGCTTGCCTGCACATGAAGGCCGTTTCCATGGCGACCCAGAAAAATCATGTAAACATTGTATTTCTGGTTTTCCGGCCACAGCCGATGGTGTTATAAGTGTAATAAAATGCTCACAGCCCAGTGTTCATTTCTACACACAAACACAGCCCGCCACGGTACAGGGCTCGCACAAATGAAATCGACGCATGTCAATTGTGCATTAAATGTAGTGAATGTGCCCACAACCCAGTGCCCACAAACCCTACCACGGTTTCTGTAAAACGAAACCAACACAAGTCTTCCTAGCCTCCTAGGAAATCGACGGTGTTTCAGTCTCGCCGTGGCCAGACTTCCACTGAAATTTTCGCTCGTTCAGTTCCAGAAAATGTGACTGTTCCAGTGTATTTTGCAGTAAGCAAGCCAGTACCATGCCCGCTTGCCTGCACACAAATGCTGTTCCCACGGCGACCCAGATAAATCACATACATGGTGTATTTTCTGGTATTCCGGCCACAGCCGATGGTGTTATGAGTGTATTGAAAATGCCTACAACCCAGGGCTCATTTCTACACACAAACACAGCCCGCAAAAATGCAGGGCTCGCACAAACAATCCGGCCACGGCCGATGGTGTTATGAGTGTTGTCAGAATGCCCACCCAGTGCCCATTCCCACACCCAGACACAGCCCGCCACGGTGCAGGGCTAGCACAAATAAAATCGACTCAGGTCGATTGTGCAAACAATGTAGTAAACGCGCCCATGTCACCATGCCCGCTCACACTACATGCTGCGTGTCCCTTGGTTTCTGTAAAAACGAAACCAACACACATTCAGTCGGCCATGACCGACAATGTTTTCAGTGTAATAAATGTGCCCGCAGCCCCGCGCCCACATTTTCTCACAGACACGCCGATTCCTACGGGATCTCCCCCGCTCGCTTTTTCTGCACAATCTGCCATAAAAAAGCTGAGCGCGGCCAGGCCGCCCGCTGTGATCAGCGCGCCTCCCGCCTCGAACGCTGTAAACACGGTGTTGTGTTCCCAGTATGCCCGGGCTCTCGAGCTGCCGTTTTGTCGCGGCCGGAGCCCGGATTTCATTCTACCTCTAGCTATTCACGCAGATGCGTGGTCAAAGCTTCCCGGGGTATCAGAATGGGTGCTGAACACTATAAAGAGAGGCTATTCGCTACAATTCGCTCGACGCCCGCGCCGTTATACGGCGCGTGTCGAAACTACGGTGAAAAATGAAGTGTCTCATCTACTTCGTGCCGAGATAGCGAAACTACTGAGTAAAGGGGCTATAGAACCTTTATCTCAGGCTCAGAGCGAAGGGGGCCTATACAGCAGATATTTTCTGGTACCGAAAAAGGATGGGGGTCTCAGACCCATTTTAGATCTACGACAGCTGAACAGAGTGCTTGTGAAACGCCAGTTCAGAATTCTTACGACCAGGAAAATCCTCGCGCAAGTGCGCCACGGGGACTGGTTTATGTCGATAGATCTGAAAGACGCCTATTTCCAAATACAAATAGCGTCCCATCACAGGCGATTCTTGAGATTCGCCTTCGAGGGCCAGGCATATCAATACACAGTCCTGCCGTTCGTCCATGCACATTTACGAAGTGCATGGACGCGGCGCTCGCACCCCTGAGACTTCAGGGCATGCGAGTCCTGAACTACTTGGACGATTGGCTGATTCTAGCTCGATCACGATCGGAGCTCATAGAACACAGGGCCGCATTACTCGAGCACCTCGAGGAGCTGGGCCTCACAGTCAATTGGGCGAAGAGCTCACTGTCTCCCAGTCAAAAAATTTCCTTTCTGGGAACCGTGTTGGACTCGCTGTCCATGACAGCACGCCTGTCACCAGAGCGCGGGCTAAATATTCAGCGCGGCGCGAAATCCTTCCGCCACGGCGCGATAGTTCCGCTCAAAAGGTTTCAGAAAATGCTGGGGCTGATGGCCTCAGCAGCCTCTGTACTCCAGTTGGGCTTGCTCCGCATGCGCCCACTGCAGATGTGGCTGAAAGCGCGGGTTCCACCCAGGGCATGGACAGCGGGTCTGTTTCGCCTCAGGGTCGACCTTCAGTGTGTTTCAGCTCTGGAACCTTGGAAAATAACCGACTGGTATCAGTCAGGTGTGAGTCTGGGGACCACTTCGAGTGTGAAGGTGGTGTCTACGGACGCCTCCACCTCGGGGTGGGGAGCGCTGCTCGAGGGCACACCGCTAGCTGGCCTGTGGTCAGAACGGGAAAAGCTCCTTCACATAAACTGCTTGGAGATGATAGCAGTCGACAAAGCGCTACGGCGTTTTTGTCCCCAGGTAACAGGCCACCACGTCTTGGTCCGGTCGGACAACATGTCAGTGGTGGCATACATAAATCGCCAGGGCGGCGTCAGGTCACGAAACCTTCACAGGCTGACGGAACGCCTCCTGGTCTGGGCTCAGCACAACCTGCTCTCACTGAGAGCAGCGCACGTGCCTGGTCACCTTAATGTGGGACCAGACAGACTGTCCAGGAACAATGTTCCAGCAGGGGAATGGTCGCTGCACCCGCAGACGATCCAGCTGCTGTGGAAAACGTTCGGCAGAGCACAGATGGACCTATTCGCGTCCCACGAAAACGCTCATTGCCCGGAGTTTTTCTCGAAAAGCAAGGACGCGCTGGCTCATGTTTGGCCCCGCTGCCCCCTATATACTTTTCCTCCTGTCTCGCTCCTGCCTCAGGTGTTGGAACGAATCAGGGAGAACGGATGCCCAGTGCTGCTCGTAGCTCCGCTCTGGACAAACCAGACGTGGTTCCCTGCCCTGATGCAGCTGACCAGCACTGCCCCATGGCCTGTACCATTGAGGAGAGACCTCCTCTCTCAGGCGGAGGGCTCGATTTGGCACCCTCGCCCGGAGTTGTGGTCCCTGCACGCATGGGCCATCAACGGGTACCCGCTAGCCTCCCAGAAGGAGTGTTAAACACGATCGCGCAGGCTAGAGCTCCGTCTACCAGGCGGCTCTACTCCTCGAAATGGTCTGTTTTCTCTGCATGGTGTCAAGCCCAGAGCTTTTCACCTGTGGAATGCGGGGTTTCGGAAGTGCTTTCCTTCCTTCAAGAGCTACTGGATAAGGGCAGGACCCCATCCACGCTCAAAGTATATGTGGCGGCCATAGCAACGTTTGCAAAACCGGGTTCTGGCCAGTCGCTGGGGAAAAACGACTTTGTCGTGCGTTTCCTTAGGGGAGCTCGGAGGCTGAACCCTCCCAGGCCCCCTTCAGTCCCGACGTGGGACCTTTCCACGGTCCTGGAGGCCATGAAAGGCGCGCCGTTCGAGCCAATCCAGCTGGTGGACATGAAACACCTGTCGTTCAAAACAGTGTTTCCTCATGGCTCTCGCTTCAGTGAAGCGCATAGGGGACTTACAGGCGCTTTCAGTAAGCGCGTCGTGTATGGAGTTTGGGCCTAATGACTCGAAGGTCATTCTCAAACCAAAGCACGGGTATGTCCCGAAATCCCTCAATACACCGTTCAGGGCCCAGGTAATTTCCCTGTCCGCCCTTCCGGTTCTCAGTGAGGAGGAGGATGCGAGTCTCCTTTGCCCCGTTAGGGCATTGAGAGCCTATGTGTCACGCTCGTCTGTTTTCTGACAGACGGAGCAGCTTTTTGTTTTGTTTGGCGGGCGTTCCAAGGGACTCGCCGCCTCAAAACAGAGCCTATCCAGATGGATAGTGGATGCCATTGCGCTCGCTTACTCTGCGAAGGGCCTACAGTGCCCCTTGGGTGTCAGGGCGCACTCCACGAGAGGTGTGGCCTCTTCGTGGGCATGGTCGAGCGGGGTTTCCCTGCAAGATATCTGTACGGCCGCGGGCTGGGCCTCGCCGTCTACATTTATAAAATACTATAACCTGGAGGTACCCGCCTTACAAGCTAAGCTTTTGGCGGTCTAAAATTCAGTGCTATCTGCCCCGCTGTGCGGCCCAGATGCTGAGTTTACTGCAGCCCCATGAGTGTTGACACACGTATGGCCACCCAGATCAGGCTGAAAGCTTTCACCCTGGCTGCGCGTTTTATTGTCATATAATAGCCCCGCTGGGTGCTTTTTTATAGGGAATGATGCTTCCAGCCTCTCTTCCTCCACTCTATATGAGTTTATGGTGATTATGCACTACATGAGCCCTGGGCTTCGGCCCCCGGGACTTTGGTGTTGGATCCCTGTACGCACGGCGTGTTGCATTGTGTTCCCCTAGCGTAAGCTATTACGCAGTACGAGAGATACTCTCGTAAGAGAACGTACTCGGTTACTAACGTAACCTCGGTTCTCTCTAGAGAGGGAACGAGTACTGCGTATCTTGCCGTGCTTGGAATACGCTCTGGTTCGCTTCAGCGATAAAAACCAGCTTGTATCAGCCTAACGAGCATATTTATAGGGTGAGACCACGCCCCTTCTGGCGGGACGTGACGATATGGGCGCGAATTGCCCCCATTGGTCATTACGTCACGCAGAGTCTCTCTCGATAGGCTGCTGCATTTGCTGCAGAGCAACCAATAGGCGCGTGAGCTGTTTCGCCTATGTCTGCTTGCTGCTGCAAAGCGTTTTACATTAATAAAAAATTAAGGATAATTTTTGGCTTCAATATCTCGCGGAAAAGAGTTTTTCCCCTAGCGTAAGCTATTACGCAGTACTCGTTCCCTCTCTAGAGAGAACCGAGGTTACGTTAGTAACCGAGTACGATTCTGTAGAATGTGGATTCGGCAACCATTCCCATCGACATAAACTTGAATAGTAGGGCTACTTTTCTGTAGTTGTTCCCGGACAGAAGAATGTTGGCAGCAGGGGCTTCAGCCCCCCTAAACTTCTGCCTAGCCCCCCTAAAAATGTGCGATTAATGTAGGCTACACAAATTCGTGTTCGCTTCAGTCTTGTTATAATCAGATTCAGCGCGTTCTTCATCTTCAATCCGCAGCGGCGCCGACAGAGAGCACGTCAGAAACAGAGGACAGGGTGTGTGTGTGTGTGTGTGTGTGTGTGTTCATGTGTGTTCATCTGAGCCTCATTGGTCTGTCACTGCTCGTCAATGTCAGAATATTTGAGATGACCAATCAAATCAAAGTAGGCAGGCTTTATGTTCACAGACGCTGCTGAGCGCGAATTTTAACAGTGCGACTCGACGCGTACGGTCAAGTGCGAGATAAGATGTAAGTAGCTAAACTTAACATTTCATATTTTACTTTTTTTAGGTCATAAATGTTAAACGAATGACAAAAAATAATCAGGCAAACTAATATAGTTTTGTCTAATTTCGCCATTTTGAACTGAAAATAGGCTGTAACGTGACTCATGTAATGTAATAATTAGTTTACAAGAAACATTAACAAAGCCGTTTTCATCATGTTAGGCACAAGATTAATAATGAATGTGTACATATTGAGGATATAATACAAATTGTAGCCTTTAGTAAATTAAAAAACCTCAGCTTTAGGAGGGGAAGAGAAAGGGATGAAGAGACTGAGAAAAAAAGGAAGAGTGATGGAGATGAGAAGAGAGCAGGTATTGACAAATAATCTGCCCACTGACATGGTTTTAAAGCTATTTCTTATCCTTTTTTGGTCTTCAAACGTCTTGAAATGCACATATCAGAGAAATAAAAAATTTGAACCCCCTACCAACCTCAAATTTAGGACCTCTGTGACTAAAGCCCTGTCTACGGCCCTGTGTTAGGCATAAGATCAATAATAAATGTGTAGCCTACATATTGTGAATGCATTTAATAAACTTAATTCCCTTTAGTAGCTTTCAGTAAATAAACGCGTCTGAGAAAATGATTCATAGGCAAAATCAACCTATCAATTGACCCTGTGTTTACTTTCTTCACTGACAGACAAAAATGAAAAGCCTATATCAGTCAAAGCTCAGCTTTAGGAGGGGAAGAGACAGGGCAAGATAAAAACAAAGAGAAAAAGAGTGTGATGCTGATGAGGAGAGAAAAATAATCAGCTGCCCACTATCCAAGTTTTTTGGCCTTCAGAACATCTTAAAATGCACATATGTAGATCAGAGAAATCAAAATTTTCTCGGGGAGACCCCGAACCCCCTTATTTGCCCTACCTCACATTAGGGACCACAGTTATTATAAAACCGTGCCTTTGCATCGTAATGAAAATGGTTAATAGTGATCTTTAGATCCTAAACTAAAGTGTTACATTTTTTTATTTTTTTTAAAAAAATCATATTGGGGGCTTAGCCCCCCTAAAATGAAAATCCTAGTGACGCCCCTGGTTGGCAGACAGCATAAAGTCACCGCCCTGCATGCCGAACTTCAAGGTCGGCTGCGAATTCCATTTCCATATGGAGTGTCCGAAGGGGCATAACTAGTGTAAAGAAATGGCAATGTTATATGAGAAACAATACAAACATACATACAAAAGTGACAAACAATAACAACACCCTATAGAAAAGAAAATTCAAGACAACATTTGACTTTTTGACAATCTTCACACCTTACCCATTCTAAAACTACTCCTGTCCCCCGTGATCTCATGGCAACGTGAAAAGGTTGTGCACCAGAGCATGCTACGCCTAGCACGCTGTCTGCAAAGGTGCACTGTTGCACTGGTAGTGTCAAGTGCATAGCGAGATCAAGCAGATTTTCGTTGTATGTTATGCTGGCAGTTTTACCGACCAGATCATCCTCAGAGAGGACTCTTTGAGGATGTTCTGTGTACTCTGATTCGGGAGCAGGAGGGTCGGGCATGTCAAGGTCTAATACGGCCTCATCCACACTGATTTCAGCCAGGTCATTTGCCTTGTCTCCAACCATTCTGAAGAGTTGAATATGCATATTGATCATCTTTAAACAAAATACTTTACATGAAGAATCACATTAGTTCATATTATAAAGATAATGTTGTAGTACAGTTTAGAAAGAAAGGAACCGCACTTTACAACCGACAAATGTAGCTCAACTTCCACACAAAATTGATAAATAAAATGCAAACATACCGTAAATGAAGAGAAGGGACAAAATCCTCATCCGAACTGTCTCCTTCCTCCAAACCCAAGAGACTTGGATCAGCCCCAAAATCATCAAACTCAATGCTGTTCAGACAACACATACAGATATTTCAGATAGAGGAAAGAGATCAATGGAAGTAAATGAAAGACTAATGGAAAGCACTTACATGGTCTTCCTAAAATTATTAGCCCCTTCTTCATCTGAAGATTCCTGTTGGTGCTCTTCAATGCTCATAGAGTGCATGCTGCGAGCAGACAAATAGAGACTCCAAAACATAAACCAACAGCCACAAAAAAAAAAGCAGATCAAGAAAACCTCTCTGAAAACAATACACCATACTATCATATGGCGTTGAACTTCACCTCATTTCCAAATCGTCAACTTCTCCCTCTCTAGACAACGGCTGCACACCAAGCTCAGGAAGATTTACAGGAACATCCCTGAAACTTTAAACTGTGCAAAAGTAACTGGAATTACAAAATGACAGACAGGATAAATAAAGGCTGGGGAAGAAAACATACTGGTCTCGATCTGAGTCTTCTGTGATACTGGAAACAGGTGGTTTTGGGGGTCTGGAGTGGGTCTTGCTTGGTGTGGATGTAACCTGCCAGCGCTTGTAACTGGAAAAATAAGATGGCATTTTTGCAACATTTATAACAGTACATTGTGAAGTTTCATGCGTATAGGTAATTGTTGTGGAATGTTTTAAAATTAGGCTACATTTGTCTGTTGATTACACAGTTGGGGGCTGGGCAGAGCAGAGTGAAATCCATAGAATGTATTTTTGGATGCGGGGTGGACATCAGGCCAAGGGAAGGGGTGAGGGGATAAATTGTGTGTGTGTGTGTGTGTGTGATTTTGTGTGTGTGTCTGTGTGTTGTTTGGAGGGCGGGAGGGGGTTGGGGTGTCACTAAAAGTAACTTGATATGCCCATGTAACTTCTATATGTGCAAACGAAACGGTCAGGGAAAATATTTTGAGTCTGGGCTTCATTGTAGTTGACGAGGATTTGTTGCATATTATGGTCAATACAATACAGAATGCGATCGATGAGCCATCGGCTTCTACACTATGTAGCGCACTGTAAAAAAGCTACATCGGCGCCAAATAAAACCAAAGTAACACCTGGATGGAACGTGCAAACTAAATTAGACACATAGTAGTGTCTAATTTAGTTTGCACGTTGCATCCAGGTGTTACTTTGGTTTTATATGGCGCCGATGTAGCTTTTCCATCTAGCTAGATCAAGACGCGGGCAGGATACACCAGTGTCTTGATTTGAATAATTTGATATCTATTTATTGGCAAACTAAGTTACACAAATAAAAGAGACAGAGGAATGGCCAAACTACTACTGAAAATTTATGTGTTTGCTAATGACAATGCTAATATCAAAGTTATAGTATCTAACGTTAGCGTACTAGTAAGACCGTAACAGACAGCGATCATAATAAAAACTTTACATACAATAGCAATCATCCTGGGGTCACAATTACTTGAATTTTAAATATTAAACACAGATTTTTCCAAAGATACTTACAAGTGCAACAGCAAGAAGGCCAGGTCAGCATCCGTTTTGCAGGCTTCTGTTTCTCTCAGTTCTCGCCATTCGGAAAATGCCGGTCCGATGTTTACTCGGGTCTGACTTCTTGCTCGGTCAGTCTCCCGTTTCCTCTTTCTCTGGTCTTCCGTCAATAATTTTCTTGCTTTCTGCTTTTTTGCAGTCTCAGCCATAACGCAAACTATTGTTGCCCTTTGCTTATAGCTAGCCGGTGCTTGAATGGGGGCGTGTACGTGTGCAGTGCCGTAAAGCAATTCATTACATCGCGAGACCTGAAATCACGCGATACGTCCTGACGGCGAGTCCGGCGGCCCGGCGGCCCAAAGTTGCAAGTGGGATTTTTCCGCTCTTGGGCACCAGGGGGGTGCGAAACCACCACCATTCAACCCGAAATAAGTAATATAACCATTCCACTGACTCCGAAACTGTTCAGTTATGGTCAAAAAGTTACTTAGAGCACCTTTAAGTATGCTGTGTTTCATTAGATTTCATACATCCAAACTTATTTCTTTGTGAATTAAAGAGCAATGCAATTGCTCAAACTAACTCATTCCGTGTGCATTGAAGATATAACACATGATATATGCGCAGTTTGTTTAATTGAATTGAAGATCTGAATTTTTCTGTTGTGCATTTGAAAATAACCGATCTAATCTAAACCGATCTAAACCGATAATAATCGATTTCTTTCTATTGTATGCATACAAGATCTGATTTATTCCGTTTTGCATTTATGAGATAGCATAGGACAGAAGCTGTTGCATTTAAGAGATTAAAAAATGCTTAATGTTGCATTGCAATGTATACAAGAACCAACTCATTTTGTATGCATTATATGACATATGTGGTGTTTCATTTCATTGCATTCAAGATCTAACTTATTCCTTACGATTAACTTACGAAATAACTTATTCCCTTGTGATTTGAAGAGTTATCACATAAGATACGTGATTTTGCATTGCATTGCTTGTAAGATCCAACTGATTGCGTTGTGCATTTAAGACATAACAAAAAATGTTTGCTATACACACTCATTGAGTCCTTTTGATCTTTCATCAACATACTACTGTCTATATTTGACCTAATGAAAAATATATCTTGTGAGAAAGTACTCTGGAAATACCACATCTACATCTTTCTGATGTTACATCAGCCAGTCAGACAGAAGTCCATATTTGACCTACTGAACATATTTCAGGCCAAAGTGTCCTCGATCTTGAACATTCTATACATATTCATTGAATCCTTCTCACATTAAATCAGCAGAACAGTACTCAAAAAATACTCAAAATACTCAAATACTCAAAAAATGTACATGTTTCAGGCCTTGATGTTGACTTTTCTATACATGCATACTGTGTTTTATCCAGATACAGTAGTCCATATTTTTCAAGATACAGTAGAAAAGAAAAAAGCCTCCAAAAAAAGGTAACACGATACATAACATGGAATCCTACTCACGTTACATCAGCAAAACAGAAGTACATATTTGGCCTACTGAACATAATTCAGGCCAAAGTATCCTTGATGTTGACCTTCCGTTGACCTCAATGACTCCTGATGTTTTATAGCCAGGAAGTAGTCCACCTGTTGACCATATTTCAAGCCAAAGAGTTCTCGATCTTGAACTTTCCATTAATACTCATAGAATCCTTCTCACATTACATCAGCAGAACATTATAGTACATATTTGACCTACTCAAAAAATATAATATTTGACATATTGGACATGTTTCAGTCCAAAGCGTCCTTGATGTTGACTTTAATATACATACATACTGTGTTTTATCCAGATACAGTAGTCCATATTTGACCTTTTGAACATAATAACGGACAAAGAAAAAGGCCTCCTAAAACCCTACATACTCATAGACTCTTTCTGATTTCGCATCAGCCAGACAGTAGTCCATATATGACTAAACATAATTCAGGCCAAAGCATCCTTAATCTTGACCTTTCGTTGACCTCATTGATTCCTTCTGATGTTTTAATAGCAAGGAAGTAGTCCATATTTGACCTGTTGACCATGTTTCAGGCTAAAGAGTCCTTGATCTTGAACTTTCTATTAATACTCATAGAATCCTTCTCACATTACATCAGCAGAACAGTATAGTACATATTTGACCTACTCAAAAAATTTAATATCTGACATATTGAACATGTTTCAGGCCAAAGCGTCCTTGATGTTGACTTTTCTATACATACATACTGTGTTTTATCCAGATACAGTAGTCCATATTTGACCTATTGAACATATTAACAGACAAAGAAAAAGGCCTCCTAAAACCCTAACTTACTATACATACTTATGTATATACATACTATGTATATATACATACAAAGAGTCCTCGATCTTGAACATTCTATACATGCAGAATCCTCGATGTTGACCTATCTATACATAATCTTTGACTCCTTCTGATGTTTTCCCAACCAGAAAGGAGTCCATATTTGACCCTCTGAACATATCTCTGGCCAAAGAGTCCTCGATCTTGAACTTTCTATACATACTCATTGACTCCTTTTGATGTTTCATCAACATACAGTAGTCTATATTTGACCTATCGAACATATGACTTCTGAAAAAGTATTCTTGCATTATCTTTGTAAACCTGGTCACTTATATTGTCTGATGTCCATATTTGGCCTGCTGAACATAATTTAGGCCAAAGCATCCTTGATGTTGACCTTTCGTTGACCTCTTTGACTCCTTCTGATGTTTTAATAGACAGACAGAAGTCCATATTTGACCTAGTGAACATATTTCAGGCCAAAGAGTCCTCGATCTTGAACTTTCTATACATTCTCATAGAATCCTTCTCACATTAAATAAGCAGAACAATAGTACATATTTGACCTACTCAAAAAATTCACGTTTCAGGCCTTGATGTTGACTTTTTTATACATACATATTCTTTTATCCAGATACAGTAGTTCATATTTGACCTATTGAACATAATTCTGGCCAAAGTAAAAGGCCTCCTCAAAGAGGTAACTTACTATTATAGTCATAGAATCCTACTCACGTTGCATCAGCTGAACTATTTGGCCTACTGAACATAATTCAGGCCAAAGCGTCTTCGATGTTGACCTATCTATACATAATCTTTGACTCCTTCTGATGTTTTATCAGCCAGGAAGTTGTCCATATTTTAAGTATTCACCATATTTCAGGTGA